CTCCCTCTCCTCCCTCTCCTCCCTCTCCTCCCTCTCCTCCCTCTCCTCTCTCCCTTCACTTCCCTGGTCACAGTTCTGCGGTATCCCGGCCACCCGCGAGGGAATGTGTGGTCTCCTCCACAGCTTTGCTTATGGTATTCTCGGTTCTTTTCAGACAAGGGCGAGAAATAAAGAAAACGCTACTGCAGCACATTATTGGTGGATATAAATTTCCCTGAATTTTGGCATAGGCGGGATAGCTTAATCGTTGGTCCTGTGCGGATTTTTCCCTCCTCTCCAAAAGGGCGCTGAGGAACAGCAGCCCGACCTACCCGAAACGCTGCAGTAAGATAAGGAAACAGGAACGAAACTACTAACAACCGAATCTAAAAACAGCAATTGAGCTCTTTTAAAGGAATATGTGGGTGGCTCTTAAAAGAGCCTTTGGGTTCTTGTCCAGATGGTCCGGTACGAGCCGATGGTTCGGCTTTAGCCGCCGAAGCCGTACAGAGTGCGGCCCTGGCGCTTGAGGGCGTAGACCACGTCCATGGCGGTGACCGTCTTCCTCTTGGCGTGCTCCGTGTAGGTGACGGCGTCGCGGATCACGTTCTCCAGGAACACCTTGAGCACGCCGCGCGTCTCCTCGTAGATGAGCCCCGAGATGCGCTTGACGCCGCCGCGCCGAGCCAGGCGGCGGATGGCCGGCTTGGTGATGCCCTGGATGTTGTCGCGCAGCACCTTGCGGTGCCGCTTGGCGCCTCCCTTGCCGAGCCCCTTGCCGCCCTTGCCTCGACCGGACATGATGGAGCCGCTGCTGGTTTCGCTACTAGTATCGATAGAGAACCCACCGCCGCTGCTGCCGCTGCCGCTCTGAGCCAGCACCGCCCGCGCCTCCGCCTTTATACGCTGCGGTCGGACCTGGTTGAGAACTGCAGAGCAAAGGGGGCGGGGCTCGGCCCCTGCTCCCGCTCTCCCCCCGCTTTCATTCCCGCCATTTTCCCGCGAGCAGAAAATATCGGGATTTTTGTGAATTTCCCTTCCCCGGGGCACAATGAGTTCGCTTTTTGGGTAGTTTGTCGTCTTTCAAATAGCAAGGACAGCGTGTTTGTTTTTTATAATGATTCTCGTTTGATATGTCGTGATCATTTAGAAGGAAAAGCTCATTCGTAGAAAGTTACCTCACTTATTGTTTCATTTGAATTATGCTCTGATTTGTTATTTTCAAAGATGTATGTCTAATGTATTTCAGTTTAACCTGCTTGTAGGGATTTTCCTGTGTGGCTTCTCCGTTTACACAGTTACTGCACTTTTTTTTAATGGATAATCTTGCAGCAAATTCTGTCCAATAGGGTTTCTGAGAAATTCTACCCGTCCTTGGGTTTTTTTCACATCCTCATTTCCCGCCGTCTCTGAATGTTATCTGAAGGTGAATTTAGCAGTAGAAATATGCTAACTGAGATTTTACATGTTTCACTTTCATTTTTTAAGGTAAAAGTATTCTTTTGGGCGAATATTTTTAGAGTATTTTACAGAGCAGTGTTGGTATGGACAAGAGCATAGCTATTTTTAGAGCAATTGAAAAATTAAATTCTTAAAAAGAAGGGTAGTTTTGCATTTCTAAGGCATTTATTAATTATGAGTTTGCTCTCTTTATTGGAGGAAAATGTTATGAGATTTTGCTTTTGAAATCAAGCAGTATTTAGTAAAAATTATTAAGTAGATAGTTTTCGACCTGAAAATTATCTGGAATGATAAAAATGTTTCCTCTATTGAGTGTTTGCTGCCCTCTCACGGACAGCAAAATAACCTCTCAGAAGTTTTTTCATTTCTTGATAGTGGTTTTCTTACTGGTTGGGCAGCTTTATGTAGTGTATGCTTTCATGAGGATGCAACAAAAGATTGAACAGTAATCAATTCATCTTCCCATAGACCACAGACAGAGATGTTGTACCTGTCAGCAGAGAAATCACCGTTCAATGGCCCCTCCCTCAATAACAAATGAAAATAACGGGATCTGTCACAAGTTCATTCTTTGTAGGCTTTGTTTTGTTTTGTTTGCAGTTTTTTCTTCAATGGAATAAAATGAAGGTAAAGCCTCATAATATAAATACTGCTCCACAATGAGTTCCTTCTGCCTAGGATCTCTCACTATATTTAATATTTTTCTCTGTCTCTTGCTGTCTGTTTGCTTTGCAAAATATCAGAAACTATTTGGAAAAGGATTTTGTTTTGTTAAATAATAGATACATGCCCTTGCTCATAGCAGTTTAACTCATGACAGAAATACACAACTAGTAAAGGCGAGCAGGTTTTGAGCTGAGTTCCTGCTCTTCTTTGCTCAGAGCTGATTCTAAATTATACATCAAATATCATATTTTCTGTGAGGTCTATGTGATAAAATTAAACCGTAACTTAAGATCCATTGAATCATTTCCATTGGAAGAGACATTCAAAGATCATGCAGACTAACCTCTGTGTTGCATCAAGGGTATAGGAACTCGGTAGAAGATGAACAGCCTTGCATTCCAGTTGGTTCTCAGAGATCAGAGAGGCTGGGTGCTGCTTGCCTTCATTTTTGATTTTTTGCAAATTCAGCACTGTAAGCCTGGCTGTGTCAAATAAGAATGACCACAGCTCCACAAAGAGTGCAGCTTAGCAATTCAGCTCTATAGATCTGGTTGCATTCAATAAGAACTTCTGCAACCACAGACTGGAGAATAGTATAGTTTATTGAAGCAACAGAGCTACAAATTCAGAAATGACAGTGCTAAATGCAATATAATAGAGCTCCAACAAGAAAAATAATGTTGCATTACCCCAGATATTATTTTTATTATTACTATTGTTACTGTTGTTGCAGTAGAGATGGACAATGACACCTGTTTCTTCTTCTATCATAGCTTAATCTTTATTGCACACAGCTTATATTTATATGGTTATTAGAAAGCACTGTGTTTAATTATAATTCATTAGCAGCTCAGTTCACTGGTTGGTAATGGTGAGTGTACATGTCAATCAAAACTCGTCTCTCTAACAATGTTTACATACTTTTCCTACTGATTCTTATGTTTATGCCTTGTTGTTACAGGTGCACTTGTTTTCTCCCCAAGAATAGTTTGTTATGTTAATGAATTTTTCATTTTGAAGATGTTTTTGCATGGGAACTTACCAGGTTAGCTGCTGGCTACACTTAGCCAAAGTATAACATGGCCTGAACCATGATTTTACAAGGCCTTTCTTTTGTAAGGTTTTACCTATATGTGAATTATTATTGTTATTGTTATTGTTATTTTTATTGTTATTGTTATTGTTATTGTTATTATAATCTTACCAAGAAGGCCTGCCCAGCTGGGAGGAGGGAGAAGAGAGTAGCCTGTTGACTGACTCCAAGGTCATTTTTTCTTCCTCCCAAAGAGATTAAATTTCTATCCTCCTTATATACAACATGATCTTATCCCACTCTCTCTCTTATGTGAGGCATGATCTAGGTGGAGAATTGAGTAATATAATCATATATGTGACAGCACATACTTTGTAAAACTTATTAGCACATACAGTAGCTTGCAATTTAATATGTAACTGACTTTATCAGGCAAAAGTTACTTTTTTGGCCACGTGTTCTTAAAAGTTTACATCATGACTTTGTTCTGTTTGTGCTGTTCTTCTGAGCCAAAGCCTGACCTTCTTATCTCCACAGGAGCTCCCCCTTCAACCCAATCATTCTCTCGTGAAATCAACCACGCGTCTCCCTGTGTGCACAGGTAGCGTAGGAGGTGCAGGACACAGACAGTGAGCTACAGCCCTTGCCTTGGCCATTGCTTCTCATCTCACACCTCTGGGCTGTAGGCAGGGACTTCTTTTACTAGATCAAGTTTCAATGTTTGATGTAAGCCATAATCCTATTATTATTATTTTACATTTCAATTTTTCTGCTGGCAGCCCAATCCTGAAATCATTTAAAGAATGAATCCTGCAGTCACTGAGGATTATGTTCACTTATGTCTCAGCAGTTCATACAGGACCAATGAACAAAACTCATATGGGAATGGAAATGCAAAGAGATCAACAAAACACCGCAAAATCATAGTCAGAATGCAACATAACTCCAAATCTAGCAACAGTTGTCCAAAATTGAGTATGGAGAGTGAAAGGGGATCCCAGGAGGAGTCACACTGATGACTTCATTGTGCTTTGACAACATGTTATGTAGAGGATAGATCTCAAATTCCCTCAGAAAAAAGTACTTGATAACTCTGTGTCCAACAGTACACAGGGTGCATCGTGATCTAGATAATAAAAAAGAAACTAGTCAAAGGGAAACTCAGTTGGGTAATCTTACTGTGTCAAAGGTGTCTAGTTGAAAAGTGGTTCTCTACCCAAATTCAAGCTGGTTCAAATCTGTACTGACATGCAAGCAGCAGAGAACAGGTCTGGTATTAATGCTATTTATATTACACTCTTCCAGACTCATTGCTGGCTGTTCCTAGTACATTGTAGCTATTTCACCACTGAGCTCCTTCCTTTAGAGAACCTGCAAACTTAGTCTTGAAATGTACATAAGTTACATTTTACAATGTATTTAGCCCAAGGTATTAGGAAGGACTTTTACTCTGCTTTATTCAGCTGTCATGGTTTAACCCCAGCCAGCAAGTAAGCACCATGCAGCTGCCCCCTCACTCATTCCCAGAGATGGGGGAGAAAATCAGAAAAGTGAAAAAACTTTGTGGCTTGGGATAAGGACAGTTCAATTGGTGAAGCAAGAGCCATGCACACAAAAAAAAGGAAAACAAGGAATGAATTCATCTCTTCCCATGGGCAGGCAGGTTTTCAGCTACCTTCAGGAGAGAAGGGCTCTGTCAAGCATAATGGTGACTTGGGAAGATAAAAGCCATCACTGGAATACTCCCCTCCCTTCTTTCCCCCAGCTTTATCTGCTGTGCATGAAACTGTATGATTTGGAATATCTCTTTGGTCAATTGGAATCAGTTGTCCCAGCTGTGTCCCCTCCCATCTCCTTGTGCACTCCTGGACTCCCTTGAGAGAGGTTCTGGGAGAAGCAGAAAAGGCCTTGGATCTGTGTAAGCACTGCTCAGCAACAGCTAAAACATCCCTGTCTTATCAACACTGTGTGCAGCAAAAAAATTTCTCATCTTAGTGCCTGAACTAACATAGTTTGCCTTCTATGGAGGTCTAGCTTTTAATTTTCTCTATCAAACACAGAAGATTTCTTAATGAATTAGTGGAATAGTTTCACTTGCAATAAAACTCCACCTTTGATGTTTTTAAGACTTGAGTCCCTAAGGAAGCCTTTTTATTATTTTTGAAAGACATGATGAAGCCATGCAGAATAAACCCTTTCACCTGACAACAACTGCCATAAAAGATGTAGAGATACACAAGAAGTATGGGAATAAAATAACACACTAAGAGAGAAGACACAAACCAACATATGTTTGACAATTACCTGGTTTTGTGGTAATCTTACAATTGTGAATAATGCTGATCAAAAATTCTGTAACCCCATCATAAAAAAAGTATTCATCAGAAGAAAGTGATTTGTTATTCTGTGGGGAGTAACTTAAAGGGAATTCTTGACAGGTTACCATGTCTGTTCTGCTACATGTAGACCTTTATCTAATTCAGTGGTTCATTTGTCATTGTTGGAACTTCATAGTTATTTGATACTGACATTTACTAAGTAAGTACAACTGTGAAATAAACAGCTGACCCTATGGAAGAGAAAACAAATGAAAGCAGGTCTTCCTTGTAATAAATTACAAAACTGAACCCTGTTTGGTATTTTTTGTTTTTATCTTCCTTCTAATTTTGGGCCAGCTAAGCATTTAATCATAAAGTATATCCTTTTGGTTTTTGTCAAAGTAG